TTAGTCTTAAAACACAAGGTTCATTTTCCCCTTGGAAATTTCTCCCTACTTGTGCACATGTCTGGAGTGCTTTTTATACTATTAGGACTTGTGAAACTTGCCACATGACAGAGCCATAAAGACCTCCATATTGTTACAACTACTTACGATAACTAGAACTCAATGGCAGCACACCCACCAGGAAGGCTCATCTCTGTGGCTTTGGAGGGTAAGCTCTTTGTTACATTCTTTTATAGGTCAAGGGGGAGGGGCATAGAGAAGTTACGTTTGCTTCAGACCTTATTCACCCTGAAGTCTGGATCAATCAACAGTTAAAAGCTGTTTTATGTATTTTAAAATAATATTTCTTAAATGTGTGGTGCCTGTGAAAACATGTGAGCATGGAAATTGGCACACTTGGGTAAAACAAACATAGCAATCATCTACAAATTGTTGAATTTCTTATTTTTGGTGAAGGCCTCATTAAAGGGGCTTGTATTCTGCCTGTGGGGAAATGTCTCTCGTCACCTCAGCAGAAACTAAAGCACAGGGCTGCATAATCTGATTGATTGTGTAGTCTTTAAACAAACAAACAAATAAAAAAAAAAAGCCACAATGATAGCCAGACATTCAGTCCGCCTTAGATCTTAAGTATCAGCTCTCAAGTCCCAAATAAAAACCATGGGAACTGAAACATCTCTTTACAGCCAAATTCTAACAAAAGGTTCTTTTTGCACAAGAAATATTTATTAAAGTAAGTCTGAAAATGGCAGTTATTGAACTTGATCTTCCATGGAAGGTCAAATTCTTCCAATTAGCGTCAATGTTTTTATTTTTATTTTTTATTTATTTATTTATTTTGGTTCTTCAAGACAGGGTTTCAGGGTTTCTCTGTGTTGTTTTGGAACCTGTCCTGGAACTAGCTCTGTAGACCAGGCTGGTTTCGAACTCACAGAGATCCGCCTGCCTCTGCCTCCCAAGTGCTAGGATTAAAGGCATGTGCCACCAACTCCCCGGCTAGCATCAATGTTTTATGAAGTCATTTTGCTTTTATTTCTCTTTGATATTAAGTCAATAAAAATGAAGAATTTCAATTAGTTCTCATTTTAAGGAAATTATTTTCAGGGATCAAATGAGTGTCTTTGCTAGCTGGTACCAGTGCTTTCAAAGAAAGGTCTCCTGACAAGTGTTGGGTACTCTCCTTTGGGCCCTGACCAATAAGCTCCTCTCAGGGGCCCTATGCAAAGGACGGCAATGCCATTCAGCTCTTGAAGAAAGCCATTGTGACAACCACTATCTTACACTCTGAGGAAGCCTGCTGCCTCTACTCACCACTTCCAAACTCTCATAAAATATATCTTTAATATGGAAACTCACACATCTTTTAGTGCTGTTAAAATGTATCTTTTTCCAAGACGGAGATGCATTCCAATACAGATGAGAAGAAATCCACAGAGGGGGTGGTACATGAGGCACAGTTTGGAACCCCATCTTCCAGAGGGGCGTGTGTAAGGCACAGAGGCAGAGGACTTGAATGTTTTCTTTAATTACTATACCAGTATAATGTTTCCTTCTTTCTTACATTAAACAAGTAGTTCCTTTAAACTTTAGTTGGGAAGACAAATTTAAAAACTTGGATAACGACCATACAGTTTTTAAAAATCATACAACAAAGGCAAAATGATAAAATTCTGACAAGATATAAATACTTCTAAGTATAAACTCAGTGGAACTTATGTGCATACTCTAATATACACAGATGTGCTATTATGTTGCTTTCCTAGTTCCACATACAAAAACGTTTTTTAAGAACTGTGGTGTTTCCAAAATACACACAGCCATTGTGTATGAGAAGTTCAATAACAATGTCTCCATGTTTGGAGATAAGATAATGGCTGGAAACTCTTCACCAGAAAACCCAAAACGAAATAGGAAGAGTCAAGCAGATAACCTACTGACGTCTTGCCCATATGAAAAAGATGTTTTAGACTTCTATAAAAGAGGATGCCTCCACGGACAGGCCGGAGATGGCTTTAGACTCTGGCCCAATTTAAGGAAGGCAATCCATTACCAAGGACACAGGTCACTGTAGTTCAGTAGCACTGGGTATCATCAAGAGCACGGGGCCAACTCTTGATTAAACCATCCGATGGAAAGTTTCACGTTATGCTTTGTCAGTCTTTAGAAGATTTCTCCTAACCAAGGGGCAATGAGTAACATGCTGTTAGATATTTGATCTATACACTAACTTAGGCATCAGATTTGGGTCAGATCTTGGCTCTGTCCTTCACCACGGTCACCTGCAGCAGTCCGAGGCTGGGCCCATGGTCTTTCTTTCTTTGACAGGTTAAGGTGAAAATGAGGTGAGTTCTGTCTGTAGAATCCCTACCTTGGTGGCCTTTCCTTCTAATTTTGTCCTCAAACAAAACATTCATAGCTTGCTGTGTAGCTGGGTGGCTGGACCCTGGTATCCCCCGCCTTCTCTTTCTCCTCATCTCCCATCTCTCTTTTTCCCTTTCTATTAATTGTCTCTGCCTGCCAACCCCGTCCATCCTTTCTCTGCCCAGCTACTGGCCATTCAGCTCTTTATTAGACCAATCAGGTGTTTCAGACAGGCAAAGTAATATAGTTTCATAGAGTTAAACAAATGCAACATAAAACAATGCAAAACATCTTTGCATCATTAAACAAATGTTCCACAGCATAAAAAAATGTAACATCTTAAAATAATATTCTACAGCAGGCATGCACCACTACCGCCCTAGTTATTTTATGTGTATAAGAATTTGCCTTTATGTATATATGTGTATCATTTGTGTTTCTGGATCCTTGGAACTGATATTACAGATGATTGAAAGCTACAGTGTGGATGCTGAGACCCAAACCCAGGTTCTTTGTTAGAGGAGCTAATGTTCTCAGCTGCCAAATCATCTTCCAGCCCTATATTCTTGTAGTTAGCTTTTAAGAACCATGATCAAGTGACAGCATCTTGTGACTAAAGACTATCAAAAAGACACATACATGGCAACAGGCTCAGTTGAAAGGCCCTATGTCTCTTATACTCGTTATTTACCCATTTACTAAAAATGGAATAAAAAAAATCCAGTTAAGTTGGGGGGGTTGAATTTCCTATAAATTCTTTTGTTATGACTAGAGAAATTTTATTCTGGATATAGCCATACACATTTGGTACATATACTGTTTAATCTCAAGAGTAAAAATTCAGAATAAAAGTTAGGAAAACATATGACAACTTTTGAATTATTTTACAGCTGGAATTGGCACAAACAAGCAAAGCCATGACAAAGACAGCATCTCGGGGAACTGCTGCCTTATGCAGACACCTGGGTAGTTGGAGCTGCATAAGAATTTTTATTTGGTTGACATAAAACTAGAATTGAAATCAGTTGCTGAATTTCAACCAATTTCACTAAATTACTTGACCTACAAAAGATGTAACCCTACATTTCTCAGTGCAGCTGCCAGACATCTATTTTCCAAATGGAACAACAGATGGTTCGGGACAATATGCTGTGCAATTTTCAGCTATTCCAGAGTGTTTTTCTTGGTAAAATTATAAGTATTATTGAGAAAGCCAAGTTCAGACTTTTGTGAAAGACTCTGCTCTTTCTGTAGTGTAAAACCGGAGTTTCATACTCCAGTGGTGGTTTTAGCACTGTCTTGAGAAGTTGCTGTGTTTGCTCTTTGGGTTTCCATATGGCACGTGGCAAGGTGTACCTTTTCCTTTACTTTGCCACTGATTAATGACTTCCGGGGCTTGAAAACACAAAATCATTTACTACTCACAGTGTATGTGTACCTGAAAACTAGATCTCGTTGGAGGATTAGGCAAATAAATGTGCCAGTTAACTTGGGTGAGGTGCCTCATACCTATACTTCTAGGGCTGGGGAGTCTGAAACAGGAGTGTCAGGAGTTCAAGTGAGTTCCAGGCCAGGCTGGGCCACTGTGTGAGAGCCTGGCTCCTGTCTCAAAAAAAAAAAAACTCAATTAAGCCCAAGGCAATTGATACTTTTAAACCCAATACCTCTGTAAACTCTGTGTGACCTTTCGATACAATTACCTAATGTGTCCTAATGTTTCTTTTGCTGTCCTTGATAGATGAGTCATGTTCCTACATACAATTTAACTTAGAATATCTCCAAGGTCTCTTTCTCCTGCCTTTTAACTCCTTGGTTCAGGGCTCTGTATGAACTTCCACCTTACTCCCTGTCCTGCATGGCAGTGTGAACTTGAAGTTCTTTGGCTTTTCTAGGCCCCACTGTGGTCTTCACAACACAGCTGGTTTCCATGAGAACATGCTGATAAAGCACTAAAAAGTTATCTTCTGGCAAGCTATGCTGCCGATAACAATGAGAGAATTTCTATGATCCCTTCAAACTTTCCATTCCTTACATGCACAATTCTTTTTCTCAGATAGACCTAGCTGTGTCACAGCATGTAAGTGTACTGTTGAGAGTTAAGTGTGACTGCCTCAAACTTGCACAGACCGCTACCAAAGCATCCCAAGCAAGACTCAGAGCATGTGTGTACTCAGGTTCCCCTGTCTTCATCTCACTGAACACTGAATTATGACATGACTCCAGGAACTAACCTTATCTGATCCCGATTTCAAACGCCCTGCCATAAACCATATGGTCAGAAATTGGATCGCTCTCAGCTCTTGACAGTGCAGAGCTAGTTACTGGTGACAGCCAACCATCTGTAGTCACCTGTCTCAGTCTCCCCAGTAAATGAAAACTAAGTTAATTTTGGTGAAAGAAAGAGGTGAACTTCGTAACAACCATGTGGGGGGTGGGGAGGGGATTCAGGATAATAGAATAATATTATAAAGTCAACATCAGTCATCGGTGTTTTGTTATTATCGATGACTTTGTACCCTAGCAAGAAAGCACAGTTAATCAACATAAATAACTTCTGCATCCATCTAAATGTTTACCACTAGAGAAAGCACTTGTATATTAATTGGATAGCTATGTGAGTTTTCAAAAGAAAGGGTTACCGCCAAAGCCTGGAGCTCTCTTGTTTCTTCCTCTGCTGCTGACGCATGATAGGACAGGACCTGTGGGTAAGACAGGAGTCCAGGTTACCCAGGCAGGACTGATGCACACATAACATCAGCTTGGAAGGTTGCCCTGACTTCCTGGAGAGGCAACAAGGCTCCTCTGACTTCCAACTCCTACTCATGGCTTTTATCAACACAGCGAAACCTCCATCGAGAGTTGAGTGTGTGAGCCTGAAGTTATGCTCGTTAATTTTAGAGAAAATCCTAAAACTGTCACTCTGATGCTGTTACCATAACAAACACTTATCTATAAGTTACTCTAGAAATAATCACCAGCTTACCAATGGCAACAAGTGTTTATTTTGAACTGTTTTTCAGAAATGTACTTCTGTACAGAGTAGGGGAATAAAGCTCTTGCATGATTAGACATATTTAGGTCGCTACTTGTAATATATACATATATGTACACACACACACACACACACAAACGGTTCTCAGGTGAAGCCTGTAGTAACTGCCGAATTCATCCAGCAAAACCTTATGCTCTTAGAGTCTACAAGTCAAGGGCAGAGTAAATTAAGCTGTCACAGCAGTTGAGGACACCAGGACTATTAAGCTCACAATGGAACCAGGACCCAGTGCTACCTTAAGGTCAGGCTTACTTTAAATCTTCTAACTTGAGCTAAGAATCATAATTCTCATTTTCAGAAACCGTAACTTCCAAGTAATGAGGAACTATTTTAGATACTCCTTTAAAAAATGTGGTTGCGCTGAATGGCCTATTTGATACTTTAAAGGTTTTATTTTAAAGTTCTATTTGACAGGGGCAACAACATTTACAGCTGCCCCATGAAGCCAGCGGGGGCGGGGGACTCAGAATCAAAGTCCACAGCCCCCTGCTTGAAAGAGACATGACTTCTGCCCTTCGCCGGTTTCCTGCATTTACGTTTCCTTCCTTACCCTCAGTTCTCTAAGACTGACAGGATTTTTTTTAAGCTTTCTTTACAGGTACCTCATGGAGAGACACAGAAGGATGGGCAGGATAAACAGGGAAGGGACTCCTCGGGGACGGCGCGCATCTGTGGGAATGGCATACGCAAAGCAAACCCGGCTTTATGCGGGAGGAGTGGGGGATGGACCAGAGTCTTGGTCATCTGAGCCTTGGCAATAGTCCAAATACGTGGAATCTCCTTTCTTTAGCTTTTAAGTAAGTGTGCGGATATCACTGTGAGAATCCCGTGTTTTCTGCAGGGCTAAAAGGCCAGAGCACACACATACACACCGTGCATGCCGGGAAGGAAAGCATGTGACCGAGCGGACCACATCCCCTCAGCTTGGTCCCACCTCTAATGTCACCATTTGCTTGGCCATGGCTCTCTCCACCGCTTCATACATCTGTGTGTTCTGGATCCCCAAGCCACAGAAGATAACAAAAGCTTCCAGGAACTGTTCGTCATTTTGGTTGAAAGGTTTAATCTTGCCAGTATTCTCCTCCATCTTATTGACAAGTTGGCAAACTCCTGTAACAATCGGAGAAATTAAGCAGACATGATTGTCAGCCACCACAGCTCCAGTGAACCTTAATAGCCACCCCCAAAGATTGTCTTGTGGTTTTCTCTTAGAAATGCCTGGTAGGTCCAAGTAAGGACGTGGACTTCTACACACAAACCTAGGAAAGTAAACCTGACTCATTTACATGAGCGTTATTTTCACCCAGCCCTGCACATATATCATCTATGATTCAAAAAAAAATCCTAGAGAACTATTTTCCTCCAGATTGGTCATGAATTTTAGATCGAGTCCCCAAAGACAATTTGTCCTTTGGAAAGTAATTGGATTTTTGTCCACGTGCCAAGAGAACAGTTTTGATGCAGATCGGAGTTTCGGGTCACACAGTCTGCCTTCTCTTACTGAGAAATCAGAGTTTAAAAATACAGTTACGTACAGAACAGAATACAGAAAACAGGCACGTCACACAGGCAGCTTCAAATACACCTCAGGTATCCAAGATAATCACATGTGAGGAAATAAACACAGGTACACTGACTGTTTTGGAGATAAAAGCAGATTTAGTCCCTAAAGAATATCATAACCTTCCTCGTTCTGCCCTCGCGTATAGGCCAGTCTCGCAGTTAGGCAAGAACGGAGGATTGCCATAATGTTATGAAAAATCTCTACTCAGCTGGTGCTGCTTTGGGACCCTGTGGCCACAGAATGAGGTCGCTGCACAAGAAGTTAGAATACATGGTCCACCATTGAGTAAAATGTGTTGTTGACATTTTTATCACTTAGTCTCTAAATGCAAGGCTTCCTGCATGTACAGCCTCACTGTGGGACGGGCGCTGTGCTGGGTACTTGATTAGACACAAAATGCCTGGTCCTTGTGAGTTTCTTTGTGACGTTGTTGGGGCCTTACAGGAATGAGGAAAGGGTCGTTGCATTTACTCACAGCTTACAGCACACTCACGAGTCTGAAACCAACCTCTGCCTTGGCCTGCTCCTAACTTCATTCACTGCGCATGCTCACTCACAAGCCACACTTGGACTGCGCCTCGATCGCCCACACCTGTGGACCAGCATCACTGCCCAGTGCTCTCCTGCCTATCTCGCAGGTCCTTCTCAATGAGACCCTCAGCTTCCCACCTCACACAAAGGGCAGGCGCTTCTTTTCCCTGTGTTAACAGTAACACTTGGTGAATAATGGCAGATTTCGCTGTTTCTTTCGTAGCTGTAAGTACGCTGGGTTTAGCGATCCCCAACCCCACCCCGCCCGCCCCCATTCCATTTTCTCCGCTAACAAAATCCCTGGCATAGAGTAAAAACTTCAGAAAATAAAACGTTGAATTAATGAAAAGATGCAGCACCCCAGCTCTGACCCGAGATCCTTTCCCATGGAGAGTATATCGACTATTAGCTCTTATTTTTACTGGAGCACAAAAGATTTTCATGGTGTGTGATGACATCTGATTACATATTAATCCCTTGTCACCATGGTTGCACACTCTCTTCGTTTTAAGACTGCAAATGATCTGGACTCTGCTTTTCCCTTCTGTTTGCCCATGTACAAATGTGTGTCCATTCCTGTCCGCATCAGCGCAGGGACCCCCTTTCCAACACAATTCTATCATGAACCCAAACTTCAGACAAGACACCAGGAATGTGGACAACGCAAGCAAGCAGACGTGCATAAAATATCAGCCAGCACTCCTTATCGTAACAACACACATCCCGTAACAAACAGCACACGGGTTATGACCCTCATCTTTGCAGCAGCTCACGGTATAACTATGCGACTGTTTCTGTAGGCGCTGGCTGTTTCCCAATTGGCATTTTCGTGAGAGTCATGCATTCAATGCTCTTATGCTCAGATCACAGTGGAAGTGTCTTTCAGTTTTTATAGAAGTCATCTTCGAGACTCAGAAATAAGATTTGCACATTACTTCACAACAGTTCGTGCAGGCACACGAAGGAAAGTGTGACAGAGGGCCTGGGATGTGCACATCAGGCAATCTGCTTAGCCGTGCCCTAATTAAGTCTTTTACATAGTAATTCAAATCTGTCCCAGCTAAAATTCACCGAACAAACATATTAAGAGGTATTAATGGAGCTGGAGAAGTAGCGCAGTGGTAGACTACTGACCTCATATATTCAAAGCTCTGGGCAAAAAAAAAAAAGTGGGGGGAGTATTAAATTCTACCTCTGGAGTTGCTCAAAAATTATTAAAATGGAATGCCAACTGAATATTAAGCCCACTGTTAACAACCGCAGCCCAGTGCAGAGCAGATAACATGTGCCTGTGTTACCAGCCACCTCTACAGGTGCAGGGAGGCAGAATTAAGCGCCAGGGCAAGAAAAGGGTACTGAAGACAAACGGCCATTTAAGCTCATAATTAAATTCTCTCTTGAAAACGGGCTGGGCAGCATTCATGCTTAGCTCCCTGATCTCATTAAATCCTTCCGAAAATTTAATTATAGCGAGCAAAAGTACATGGGAAGGTTTATAAGAAACAAATGGAATTCCTCTTAGAGAAAAATTTTATAGCCTGGGCACATCTATAGATTAAATGTTCGCCATTTCTCCACTAATGATCCGTGAGAAGAGCTAAACAATGTAAGGATGAAATATGAGCCGTTGGTGTCTTTTAAAGTTGCTATGTAGAACCAAAGACACAAGTAAGCTGTCTCATGAAAGCCAACTAAGAAATATAACCATAAAGTAAAATAACACCCAAAACCATATTAGGAGGAAAATGAAGCAATAATAAAACCAAACAGCAAATTATCAGTGTCCCCTAATATTACTAAGGAGGGGAGAGTGGATTGCTTATGCAGACTTTACCTGGCGTGGCCACTGCAACTATAAGAGCTGCCTAGCACCAAGGCACCTCTGGAAACCCCACTTGGGATGCATGGATGCATATGAAATCCTGCCGCTACTTCCTTTCCTGTAATTCCAGTACTCACAGTCTGCATCCACCCCCTAGCATTTTGTCAAAAGTGGGTTAAGGCATATGTATTTTGCTAGAGCCACAAGGTCTCTCCACCATAAATGTGAGCATCAAAGTTAGCATCTAGCCTTAAAATAAGACAAAAACTACCTTAACACTAGTCTCACAATTTCTAGCCCTGGCTGTCCTGGAACTTACTCTATGAACCAGGCTGGTCTCCAATTCAGAGATCCCCCTGCCTCGGCCTCACCAGTGCTGGGATTAACGATGTGTGCCACTATTCTTGGCCGTTCCCCTCCCCCCCCATAATCTTAGGTCAGAAGATTTAAAATATACATACAAGATTTAACTTTGTTTTCAAAATCTTTTGTGTTTATTTTTGTCAATAATCTTAATTCAGGAACATTTTTCTAAACAAAGTATTCAAGAAGAATAATCTAAAAAAGATTCCTGGCATTGGGTTTTTTATTTGCAAGCCTATGGTGTCTGGCAAAGACACTGTCACCACTGAGAGGGTAATACCATTTAACCTATATATAGGAAAGCTTCTACAGTATGGATTAGTGTTAGTTACCCCTCTCCATACCCCCTCCACTACCCTGCCCTTCAATACTGCAACCCATTCCACTCTTCCTGCCCCATTAGTCCCTCTTCCCTTTTTATAACACTGCACTCCCTGAAGAGTCAGTTCTTTTTAAGGGTGTGGCCCTTCATAGGTTGATCATGTTCCAGAGAATAGCCCCACACCCAATAGTATTGGGGGAACATGAATTGGACCACATGGGTTCAAAAAGAGAGAAAGAGAAGACATGAAGTTGGGTAGGAAGGGAGGCAGGAGTGGATCTGTGACAAGTCGGAAGTGAACATCATCAAAATATGTTGTATGAAGTTCTCTAGAAATAAAGGAGTCACCTTTCAGGGCACAGCAGTGCAGGCTTTTAATTCCAGTGTTTGGAAGGCTGACCTCAGTGAATTCTAATGTATTAAGTTCCTGGCCAGCCAGGGCTACAAAGTATCTCTCTCTCTCTCTCTCTCTCTCTCTCTCTCTCTCTCTCTCTCTCTCTCTCTCTCTCTCTCTCTCTCTCTCTCTCACACACACACACACACAAACCTCTTCCCCCAATGGCCCCGACCCCCCAAACCAATATCCACAAATAAGAGAAAAAGTGATTATTTCTTTCTGGGTCTGGATTGCCTCACTCAGAATCAGTGTCAAGGAGTTACTTCTGGAGTTCTTGGCCAGTGAGTCCTATGGACCCCCAAGAGTCAATGGCTATTGCTAACACTCTTCGTTGCCCTTTAGATAAGACCCTATTGCTGAAAACACCACACACTCAAGTCACAGACATGGAGTAATCGGGCTGGCACTGACCTGGAAGCTGCATCCTTACTGGTTAACTTTAAAGCGCTGGAAGGCGTTATACACAGTAGCATAGAAAAAAAATAATCATCAACATGACCCAGCTATGAATCTGTGAGCTACAGTAACAGTTGGCCTGGCAAAATATGTTCACTCGTACAATAGTGGCACCAACGTCATGGGGGATTTTCTGATTGGACTTCATCATTATCATCTTTGTACTCGTACATACAGATGATATGAGATACAAGGATGAAAATGGTCATACATACATACATACACACACACACATATATATGTATATACATATATATATTCTGCATATGACAGAAAACATGGCATTTGTCTTGTGCTTGGCTTATTTCACTTCATGTAATTATCTCCGGTTTCAGCCATTTTGCCTGCAAATGGCACAATTGCATTCTTCTTTACTGTTAAATACAATTCCACTATGTGTATATATACCACATTTTCTTTATTCATTCATCTCTGTTGATGGACATTTAGAGTGCCTCCATATCTTGGTTATTACGAACACTGCAGCAATGAACACGGATGTTCAAGCGTCTCCGGCATGCTTAGTTTCACTCAGTGAAACAGCTGGTCACAAAACAGCTCTACTTTTTCGTGTGTTTGTTTGAGACAAAGACTACTGTGTAGATAGTTCGTGCTGACCTTGAACTTCCAATGTGCCCCAGGATGGCCTTGAACTTGCAGTGACCCTCCTACAGCAGCTTTCAGTGCTAAGAGCTATGATTTCTTAATTCTGTTTTCTTCTGATTATTACTGCTCCACTACTGTTTTATTTCCTGGTACAAATTATATCCGAACATAATTTGCATTTTTCTACCTGGGAGCAGGACAGGGATCAGTTCTTTTAAGTAGTATTTGACAATGTGTACTATAAACAATGCAGGGTTTAATTTTACTTGCACCATGAAAATCTTAGCAAATATTTGAAAAACAAGAAAAGAGTTATGGTGCCATAAAAAAAGTAGAAGTCAAAGTTAAATTTTCACCTTGGAATACTGATTTATCACTTGAAATTAGGCCACAGCACAGGAGGGTAGGTCACGTTTCCAAACACTCACCTTTTAAAGGCCCGCATGTAAGTAGTTTATTAAATGAAGCCCAAACAATTAACAAAAGAAAATAAGATAACAAAGAATACCAAGCAAATAATTGATGATCCAAAAGTTTCTCTCTATAGCCCTCACTGTCCTGGAACTCACTCTGTAGACTAGGCTGGCCTGGAACTCACAGACACTCACCACCCGAGTGCTGGGATTAAAGGCGTGTATCACCACCACCAGGTTTGATGATCCAAAATTTTAATGAAAAGTATTTGGAAGTGTCTGTAGATGGAGAGGTTGTACATCCTACTGATACAAAAGGACTGGACTCAAGGTGGGATTTGTTGTTTGTTTTTAGAATCACAGTGATAGAGGTGCTTGGTTAGTTCAAATGAGCTGAGAGTAAGAAGGAACAGCTACACGTGTCACTTAACAGCAGGACTCTATCCTGTGAGGTACAGCATAGGTGGCTTCAACAAGTGTGCATCATAGAGGAACTTAAATAGTCTAAGATGGCGATGATTCTACTTCGTAATACAATGTATGGACACCGTAGGCTGTCCAGTGTGGACTGACACATTGTTATGCAGGGTATGACTGTGTAAGACTTGAAAACCCACTGCAAAAAGAGAAAACGGGAGCTTCCTACAGCATAGATGAGAGTCAGGCAGGCACCCAGCTTACGGTGTACACAGTAATGAATATATTCCCTCTATTACTTCTTAAACAATGTGCTATATGATACTATGGCTTTTATTTTTATTATATTTGGTTACTAATAACATGGTAATATAACCTGTCTAAAATAGGGGCATTGAAAGGTTTCTGTGTTTCCTTTGCATGGTAATTTCTTCAAAGAGTGCTCTAAACAAAGGAGGGGCTTCGGGGAGAAATTGGAGGGAGAACAGAGAAGCAGTAAATGAAGCAACTACGTTATAATCTCAAAATATAAACATTAACCCAAAATATACTCTGAACTTGGTATGTAGAATAGAAATTAAAATTTCTCAAAAATATGATAGGGAGAAAAGGGCATATTTAGCTTTACCAACGGGGCAAACAACTGGTTAAACGGGACGAACACTGAATGAGAAAACATTTTTTTACTGGACAGTGGTGGAAACATTCTGTATCAGGCAGAGCACACACAAACATTTGTTGATAGGAAATACTTTGGGGAATAAAGTTGATGATACAACAGGCTCTGAACCAGGCTAATGTTTATAATTTCATCTAAATGTCAGTAACGACAACAAATAAAGAGGGAGGAAGGAAGATTCCAGAGAAACACATGGGGTGGCCTGTTTTTCTGCATGTGACTCTGTGGGGATTCTCTGCTAGAATTACACACTGGGATCTGGTCTGTGACATGCAAGGCGAATTATCCACAGCCATGATCTTTTCCACCCTGCACCTATGGATACATAAGTATGTGCAGAATTCAGCCTCTTAGCTATGTCAAACAGATAAAACAGCAGAGTACATCGGGAAATTTCCATCTCACAATTAACTTGAGTACTCTGCCTTGTCTGTTCCACAAACCCACACAGAAACCATGTATTTCATTTTAAACAGAATTGTCTCTTTTCAAAGCCATTCACTGGCTTTTGGTTCTGCTACTCAGTAGGAAAAAGTACATGCCAAAACAAGCCTGATTATTCTATTCCCTTTTTTTATATTTGATTTTGTTTTTTGAGATGGAGTCTCTCTACTATGCAGCCGTATCTGTCATGGCACTTACTACATGGACCTCAGGCTCACAGAGATGCACCTGCCGTACACCACTGTGCTTAGTTGGATTCTTCCCGCTTAGTTCAAAATTTCTGCCTTACTTTTCTGAAACACAGACAAGCTCAAACAGTGAATTCTGACACATCTACTGGGTGCTCCTAATCATTGGCATGACAGTGGCACAAAGGCCTTATGGGTCCCTCCCCCAGGCCTGTGCTCCCTAACTAGCTGGTCTTAGAGTGCAGGAAGTGCCAGGCCCCTCCCACCCTCAGCCAGCCCTGTTCCCACATATTATTTCAGAGACATCTTTGAGATAAAGCTGTGACTTCTGGAACCGTCTGAAGGTTTTCCTTCCTTCTTAGGACAACGACACATCTCCACAACTCAATTTCACATCCTCAAAGGCGGCTTGTAGCAGTTTCTTACACTTACAAGAAAGGCATTTATTCTCTTTAAAGTATAACATAATGTAGTTTCCTCTTTGGTCCCCTAGGAAGTAAAATTTTATAACATAATATCTGTTGTTTATTTTAGAGGTCGGTTGGTAATGTTCACAGATGTGTTTACATGCTCACTGGCCTATGAACTTTCTTCCTGAGTCCAGAAGAGAACTGTTGAACACACTGCACAGCAAAGAGTGGTCTACGAGCTTCTTGGGCTTTACGATAGGGTCTGACCCTGAGCCTTGTAAGTGCAAGACCCACCATGGCCAAAATGGACAAGAAAGAGATGTATCTTTACAACACAAGCATGTGAGCCTGCAAAGCAACCAGTTCTCTTCCTATGAATGATGCTAAACGAAGGAAAATCAAATAAGAGAAATCACATTAGCCGGCTTAGAATGAGAACAAGGAAAGGAGGCTCATGGAAAGTTTAATGGCCGCCTAGTAAAGGAATCACAGTTGTGTCCAGCTCGGATAGGCACTTTCAACATTTGTAATACACAGACACACAGACACAGACACAGACACATACACAGACACGCAGACACACACACACAGACACAGACACACACACACAGACACAGACACACACACACAGACACACACACACACACATGCACCTCTGCTGCCATGTTAAATAATAATACTTCTTTTCCTTGCAACCCAAAAGCTGTTCAGATTCTTAAAGGTAAATTTATACACAAGTGTTGATCCATTAGGGTTTTAGTTTTCAATTTTAATCTTCATAATCTAGCTCAGACTGTTTTCTATATGTTGCCCATGGACAACTAGGATACAAAACAACATACTTTTTCTCTGCCTTTTTCTTCTAAAGACAGGGCTTCACTATGTAGGCATGGCTGGCCTCAAATTCAGAAATTTACTTGACTCTTCCTCTTGAGTACTGGGACTAAAGTGATGTGCTACCCATACCCAGCAATGTTTGCCCTGCTCTTAATGAAGTCTTAATGAAGGAAACATACCAGTAACAGGGAACATCATTCCATTGTCTTGGGAAGGAACGTTTGTACCATTCTGTAGTTGAGGTGACCCTTCAGGCTTTAACCTTTGTATACAAGTGTAAGACCCTAGGGCAAGGATTTCTGCTTTGCTCGCTGATTTATGTCAAGTGCCTAGACTATAGGAATGCTCAATAAATATTAATTGAATGCATAAACAACCTATAATCTCAACTATGTATTTGAGAAATCAAATATCAGGAGATAAGACTAAATATGCATTGTCAGCTGATGCCTCTCAGAATATGAAGTTTTGTTTTTGTTTTGTTTTTTTTTTTTTTGGTTTTTACGAGACAGGGTTTCTCTGTATTGTTTCGGAGGCTGTCGGTCCAGCCCGGCCTCGAACTCACAGAGAGAATATGAAGTTTTAACATGTTTTTACTTTTATGTGTGTGCAAGCGTGTGCACATCTGTGTGGGTGTACAAGTGTGTCACAGTGTGGATGTGGACAGCAGAAGACAATGTTCTGGAGTCGGTTCTCTCCTTCTACCATGTGGGTCCTGGGAACAGAACTCGGGCTTGGTGGCAAGCGCCTTACCCACCTCGCCACTCTGCCAGTCGACTCTATTGACTCTAGCACAGCATTCTTAAACAAAACCCTCAGGTAAAACTGGATTCTAACGGGGGCGGTGGTGGCGAACACCTTTAATCCCAACACTCAGTTGGCAGAGGCAGGCAGGTCTCTGTGAGTTTCAGGGGCAGCCTAATCTACAGATATGAGTTCCAAGACAGCCAAAGCTACACAGAGAAACCCTGTCTCAAACAAACAACAAAAAAACAAAATAAGACAAACAAAACTGAATCCCAATGATTGAAAAAAAAATACTGTATAGCTAATAAAACATCTGACATGTATGGTGGAATTTGTCAACATAAAAATTTTACCTTATAATTCTCAATTTTCCCTTTCCTCAGACATTCTGTTCTTTAATTTACAATTCACACTTGAAAGTCACAGGGAATTCTTTTTTTTAAACAGAGTGTTAAGCCAATGGGAAGATCTTACCTATGACTTTGTTCTTCTTTCCATTCTTTATAGGTGTGCAAAGCAAGCTTCCAGTGCAGTGTGTGTTTACATGCCCTGTGTGTTCATTCTAAAGAAGAACAAAAACAAGGCTGCTGGAACCCCAGAAATGATGTGTCCCACAGCATCGTATTAACTGTACGGCACATGCGAAATAACTCATATACTCATATTAGTTATAGGAAACAAATTATAATGAGGTGTGCATAAAGTCAGCCTTTATTAGGATAGCAATAGCAAAATTCATTTATGCTGTTATAACTTTCTGAAGAGTTTATAGTAACAGTAAGTCAAATACTATTCAGCGCCTGCTATCGCAGTTAGGAAGAGGTCCCAATATGACAAGGAAGCAGAATCCAAAAGCCTGGAAACAACACACTACAATACTGGCCTCCTTAACAGTGCCACTGAAACTGAAGCTGACACTTACAAGGTTTGCAAAAGTTCTTCTAAGTGTGCAGGCAACAGAAGCAAGGCAGCTGCCTCACAGCCTAATAATTTTGAAAGATGAAAGAAAACACTGGAATTCAAAGTGTTGAATGTCTAAAGAACACTTCTTTGTAACTTCACTGTCAAGGCAAATGGATAGCCAAGGAGCAGCTCACTAAGAAGGTTGCCAGTCGTGTGCATTCAAACCACAGGGACCTTAATGTTCACAGATAAAGTCAGAAAACCCATCTGAGGAAAACCACCGACACCACGGTGGTAAATTACCTCAACTTGTACATGCTGGTTTGTTACTATCCCGAGAACAGAGAGAAAACACAAAGCACAGCTTCCCCAGCAAGTTTGAGCTATTTTACCATCCCTCCCTTGAGCAGGAAAAAGAGAGATCACCCTTCAACAGCCAGTTTCCAGCCCAGTCCTTCAGACAAGGAGCAGCTGTAAGTATAGGTCTGAAGGGAAGACAGCTTGTGTGCATCAGGTCTAAAATTAGGTTACTTACTGTCCAGGGAAATCGTTTGTCCTTAGCGACATCAGGGATATTAAGTGGCTCCATTGTGTTCTTGACATACTGAGCATACATGTAATTGATTTTGTTTGCATCGTGCTCCCTGCAGAAACAATAGATGTGAGTTCCTTCTATGCAGTGGGGAAGCATGCACACATACGACTAAACAATTGAATAGGGAGGAACCAGCAGCTGTGAAGTACAGGGGGAAATCCACATCTTAATTTGAAAATGTGCTAGATGATTACAGCTCATTACTCCAATCTAGACAGTCTGATTCAACAAACACCCACATAGTGTGGATTGTCTAGAAGAGCAATTCTCAACCTGTGGGTGATGACTACTCCGGCGGTCATATGTCAGATAACCCTCCCATCAGATATTTCCATTACAATTCATAACAATATCATTATGAAATAGCAACGAAATAATAGTGCGGTTAGGGGTCACCACAACATGAAGAATAGTATGAAAGGATCACAGCATAAGGAAGGTTGAGAACCACTGGCCTAGAACAAGTTCTAAGAATGTTCTTAGTCATCCAATCACAGGTGAAACACCTGGAACTTAAAAATGTTTAATACAACCATCTGAAAAGCTCCCAAACCCAACATGTTGTCAACCCTGATAGAGACCCCTAGTATAGAATTCCACACCTGACTTCTTGTGACTAGCTGCAGTTGACAGGTAGGCACACTGAAAATACTGTATAAATTACGTCCAGGCTATGTGCATGAAACAAATGAACTTCCAGTTTAAACTTATATACCAAGATATCTCATTATGTATATACAAATATTCCAGTGTCTAAAAATTTCCTGAATCAGGCATCTGCCCAAGTACTTCAAATGAGCGATTCGCAACTGAAGAGTGTCAATGATCATGTTCACTTTTTTTGTGTCATTTAATGTAAAATTTGTATTGATTCTCTCACTAGATGTTTCATTTTATCTGACCACAGAATGCCTAAGGTGTAGTACTTGTACTTCCTTAATCAATATTTTGAGAACACCTATCTCAATAAGACAATCTTTTACAAAAATAGTAGGGAAACAGTAGATTTGTATCTTCCTTCTGTTGTGTGTGTGTGTTTCTGTCTGATATGCCTATTTTAATTATAGTTTACTAACTGAAAAAATGGAACAGTAGTAGATGGTATTTAAAAATGAATATATGCATTAGGCTTGAGATACCTCCCTAAGTTACTGGCTAGTGAAAGCCCCTCCCTGATAAGTAGATTTCATGGTTCCAGAAAGTACAATGCAAGCTTCCAAAGCGGGGAAGCAGTCAGTAACCCTACTCAGCTATGATGTCTATGAACCACAACAATGAGCAGCATGACATGACAACCCTAAGTAAGGGTGCAGTAGTAGCATGAACACCTCAGTGGTACTCAATGGCTCTCTATTGGACTTAAGACCCACTCAACAAGAGGGAACGCATGCCTGGTACTGGAAACCAAGCCAACAACGCAGAACTGGTGACATCATGGATCTTGGAGGAGAACCTACACCTACCGTTTTACAAAACCAGCAAAATTTCTAACTACACTCTAAATATCTGTCCTTATACCCATAGATAAATATTGTTCTCAGCCCTCATGACACATTTTACAACAGAAGGAAAACATTACAGAAAACCACAGTCAATCAAATTTGCAGAGTTGTGAAGCCCAGATTCGACTGACCCAGCTTCTGCACCTAAGGCTTGGGGGTCACTGTGGAAGAGGGTGAAAGATTCTATGAGGCCGTGGATCAGGGAGTTTGCTGGTGATTGTGTCTCCTAGGAAGGTCAGAAGCTACACCCATTAAAGTCTCACCAACATGATTGCCTAAACATGAGCTGAACAAGGTCGACACCAATAGAGAGGCTAAAGTGTATGGGGGACAGCTCACGATGCCTCAGTCCTACCAAAAACAAAAACTACAGGCAACTAAGGTCTGTTGAGAGGAAAGAATAGTCTTCCCCAGGGAAGAGCACACAAATTAGTTACCCGATACCAAATGCTCAGCCTGGAAAACATTTACACACAAGTAACATTATACAAACTAAACAGGTTGTACTTCTGTGTTTAGTAACACACACACACACACACACACATACACACAATGAGCGCACATATGTGCAACAACAAAAATAGAAGCCATGAATTTAAAAGAGATGCGGGAGGTGACATGAGAAGGTTTGGCGGGAGGGAAGCGGAACATGATGTCATTATATTAACATCTCAAATAATAATAATAAATTAAAATAAAAAAATCTTTTAAAAAGTTGTTGGCCAGGGAGTCCCCAGAGCTCTCCAAAACAAGCCATCACAACTACATAGTAAAACCTCACTGTTGAAGACACCATACACTTTGGCTGCAGGACAGAGAGGAATCAACCTGAGACTAAGCGGGGCTCCTCCTTCCAGCTGGCTAGCTTTGACAGTGTCAGAAGGTGCTGTGCAGGCTGCTGGGGAATAGAAGACATCTGGATCTACCGAGTGCTGGAGTCGGTGTGCTGCAACCCTGACCTGCAGGCAACAGATGTCCACTGGTGCAACAGACAAAGGATTATTATGGGGTAACTACTTGATTCCTGGTTGAATCTGAGGCCTGCTCCACAGGAGGGGTTTCATGCCTAATCCTGGTTAAAGGCCCACAGTGGGGAAGGCCATAGGCCCTAGGAAAGAAACTACTACTGTGGTTCTCTTTTTCTTCCTTTCTTTTTAATTTATTTTTATTTTACATGCATTGGTGTTTTGCCTGCATGTGTGTCTGTGTGAGGGAATCAGATCCTCTGGAATTGGAGTTACAGACAGCTGTGAGCTGCCATGTGAGTGCTGGGTATTGAACCTGTGTCCTTTGGAAGAGCAGTCAGTGCCCTTAACCTCTGAGCCATATGAGTCCCTACTATTGTTTTCTTAAAAGATCATGTTGTCAAATGGTCCCCTAAATATTTGTTTCTGCCCACAGACCTGAGCTGCTCTCAGTCTTCATCATAGAAAGAAAAATTTATTTTTATGCAGTGGGCAGCTGAGGTGTTTGATGAGAATGGCCCACATAAGTGCATGTATTTGAATACTTGATCCCCAGTTGGGGATCTGTTTGGGAAGGATTAGGACAATGGTTCTCAACCTGTTAGTTGTGACCCCTTTGGGGGTCAAATGACCCTTTTACAGAGGTCATATATCAGATATTTACATTAGGATTTATATCTGTAGCAAAATTACAGCTATGAAGTAGCAGCAGAAATAATTTTACTTTGAGGGTCACCTCAATACACAACATGAGGAAGTATGTTAAAGGGCCACCACATCAGGAAGGTTGAGAACCTCTGGATTAGGAGGCGTGGCTTTGTTGGAAGAGATATGTCCACCGTGGGTGGGCACTGGGCGTTGAAGTTCCAAAGACTCGTGCCTTCCTGTTGGTTATGTAAAGCCTAATTGTGACAGCAGCAATGCGATCAATGTATAATTGGCTTAAGTGCTAAGAGTAAAAGGCTGAGTTCTCAGCCCCTGTGAGACATCTTAATCACTGTCCGCTCCCCACCAAGGCTCAATCAATGTCCTGGAAGAGGAGGTGGAAAGAAAGTTAAGGGCTGGAGGGTGGGGAAGGTTCCGGGAAATGCTGCCTGGACATCACACAGCTGTCACAATCATCCTCTCACAGCAGCTGCACAAGAACTGCACAAAAGCCAGCCAGCCAAGAGCCAGCCCTGGGAGGGAAAGGTGCTCTCCAAGCCCACTCCTTCAGGAGAGCTATTGGCAGTGGACAGTTGTTGGGAGAGAGAGCCATTCTTCTTGGGTGGTGCTCCCCCTAGCAGGTTTCCCCATGTGTCAGCGAATGCTTCATATCCATGCACATATGGGCAATGCAAACTGGACTTAGTTACTAAAAACAGCATGAAATTGGGAGGAGGACATTTTGGGGGGTTATGGAAGAATCAGAGGAAGAAAATGGGGGATATGATCATATTTAATTGTATATATGTATGGAATTCTAAATCAGAAAGAACAATTTTAATTTGCAAAAAAGAAATACATGTCTTAGGAAAAGAACTTTTCTAGTTCTAAGTTTTCAAAGTTCCAATACAGTGCCTGTCTACTGTACTATTTACCCAAGCTATCTTGGGACAATGATGACATTCCAAAATGACTCAGATATTTCAGTATTCTCTTTCTGTTTTCTGTATTCTAACTTAATTGCAATAAGGTCAATTTGAGTTCTATGCTCTCAAAAATATTATGTATAATGAAAAAGAATGAAAGGGAAATTACAAATGTATCAAAGGAAAAGATGAACAAGATGAACTTCCAGCTTGACCTTGAAGGCATGCAGATTGCCTTGAGCAACAGACCTCCTGAATCCGATTTCATATATTATCTGTGTGACTTCAAGGAAAGGTCATAAATGTAGATTTGAGGCTAACAAAACAATACTTAAATATTTTTTACACACAATAGCCCAGGGAAACGAAAATGAGAGGAAGCTATAATAGAGACAGGAAAAATAAAGAGGTTGCCATCAGAAGGAAGAACACAAGACAAGATGGCTTCATATAAGAGTCTCACAGACTAATAATAAAACAGCAATAACCATGTCATTCTTACCATTATTGCCATAATTATGTTGACAAGAGTCAGAAGCAACCCGAAATGCCCAAGTAATCCACTAGGCCTGTAACTCAGAAATAGGAGTTGCTGTAGAAGCATGAGTTCTCCTAAAGTTACATAACATAGCGGTTATTTCCTACTTTGTAAAGATGTTGATAAACTGCTTCCTATGCTCAATAAATACAGCCTGAACATCTGTTCCCTGAGAGGCATTCTTAATACTATGTGGAAGAAAAACAAACTCACACAGGTCAGTCACCACAGCGAGGAACTCGGAATCTAGCAGGAAGCTGCAATGGAGCGATAGTTTTAGTTGCATATCCTGTTTGGGCAGCATCCAGTATATAGATAATGCCAGCTGCCCCCAAATAACTCCTCTTTGCATGGACTCAGAGCCACCCTGAATAAAGAATGCATTACTCTGCAGCCCAGAGAGTTAGTGTTACAACAGGAGTAAGGCCCAGTCAATAGCATGACAGATGCTTATGTGGGACAACTTCCAGAAT